AAGCTGGAATGAAAACAAGCAAAAATGAAATAAAAGTAACRACTTTCTACTTCTTGCCTTTTTTAAAAATATAAGAAGTAAAAAGTAGGCTGAAAAATAATTACTCAAGTAAAGTACAGATACCCAAAAATTCTACTTAAGTGCAGAAACTAAGTATTTGTACKTAGTTACTGTACAACTCTGCCTAAGCTTAACACAAAATACTGTATTATACGAAGGGATTTCCCGGTCCTATGGCTGCTGGAAAATAAAAATGGAAAAGTTTCAAATTAGTGCTATGTAACTAAAACATTATTTCTAAAAACATACCAGTTAGAAAACCTTGATTTAAAGGTAGATTGGGAAGATTGTGTTATTTTAGTTACTGGTAGTGGTGGGCGTGGTTCGGCTAAAACAGAACAAAATTTTGTTTAGCGAGTTAGCTTTTTCACTAACTAGTAGCTTCTAAATCAGGTTTTGACAACTTTAAAGTGCCTGTGACATTCCTATCCTTCAAATCCAAAAAGTCAAGAAAATTGGTATAAGTACACACGATTTTACCCATTTTGTCACATAACTGGCCTATTTTCTTTTAAATTTGGYTCAGCCAAAGTGAAACAGGAAGTGACATCAAAGGGGATCTCATTAAAAAAATTAACTCGCTGGTCTTCGTTCATTAAAACAAAATTATTTAAACATCAGACTCTTCTCTACAGTCTGTTTGGTTAGCTTTTGTAACAACGCTCTGTTTACATGCCGACATTCCCCTTTGACATCACTTCCTGTTTCTTCACATGTCAACATCTCAACAACCGTTCATCTGAGYGACGTGACGTTTGTTTTGCAGTATGTTATCAATGTTATCTTTCCAAAAGACGCATTCATGTTTATTACAAAAATTTGACGTCACAGGCACTTTAAGTCTGCTAACAGTTAACTAAAAAGCCGACGTCATCAGGTTTGTGTCAGTCCCACCAGTCTTCAGCTGGAYGGAGACGAAGACGAGTGACAGTCGTCTTAGTGGTTAGTGATCAGCTGATTAGCGTTAGTGTCCACAATTTATTTTGTTTTTACAACGAAGCCTGTCYGGTGAMATTAAATTTTATTWAATTATRCATGGCCACGAGATAATAACTTGTGGCCACAAGTTATTATCTTGTTGTCACGCATTAATTTTTTTAATCCAGTGCCACTAGACAAGCTCCACAGTGTAGTGTTAGCAAAGCTATATTTTTACTTAGCGAATTATAGCAAAGCTAGCTTTTTGGTTAGCCGTGCCCACCACTGGTTATTGGGATTGCCTGCGGTGTTTTTACAGCAAAAATCCACATTTTTACTTGTTTTGCACTGTAGCCTATATTTATTCTTTCTCATTTTGCCACATATAATGTTGCTTCAAAGGTTACTGTTTACAGTTCAGCATCCACGATGCTTTCCCCGTGCACACAAAAGCTCAGTCATCTGTCACTGACCTTTGAATGGTCTGCTGATAACTAACCAGATGGTCCCTCACCTTTTATTTGTTCAGCCTGGTGGTCACAATATAATTGATTTTTAAAATAAATTGTTGGGTGGCAAGGTTTCTATTTGCAGCAACAAACTGTGCTCATTAGCAATAGTTGCACTGTTGAATGARTGATTAACTGTAATCGAAACAAACTTTATTTTAAAGTGCATTTCAAGCACAAAAACTACACTCATAGAAGAGCGAAGCTTTTGTACACATTCGTAGACATATTCACACAGAAATAATTTAAATAGTGTGAGACAATTAAAGTCACCTGTGTAATCTGACAGGTATGACTTGGTAACAGTGATGCAAGGTTGTTTAATGCTTTATTGACTCTGCCTTATCCCAAAAAGTAGTATTTGCAAGTGTCCTTTAAGTGTACCGATTTTAAATTAAAAATAAAAGTGTACTTCCAGTTTACTTTTTATGTACTTATCTGAGATATACTTCACCACGTTTATCTTACACTATACTTGGCTTGTACTAAAAGTATACTAAAAGTTTATGTATACTTAGTCTATATTAATGTTTAAACTTTTGGCCAAGATAAACTTTAGTAGTACACTGAATGTACATTTTCACACAGACTGGTTAATTTGTAGTATATTTCAAGATTAAAGGAAAAGAATATTTAGATTATTACTTTCATTATACTTTATGAAACTTATTGTGGGCCAATTTAGTCCTAGAAGTATATTTGTTAGTAAACTGCTAGTATACTTAGTGATAAAAGTTTTCATGGTAAATAAAAGTCCACTTAGGGAAATACACTTTTTTATACTTCAGTAAACTTAATGCCATGTACTTAAAGTATACTTCTTTTTGGTAAGTTTATAAACTTTAAAAGACAGTACACTTAAAGTATACTTTTTACAAACAAAATGTCCCAATTTAGTATGAATGAGAATTTAAATCAGTATACTTTACACTACAAGTACGTGGTACCTAGTATAGTTGATCTAGTTGAACTTCAAGTATGCTACTTTTTTTCTAAGGGTAGCCGCTGTAAAACGAATGTTTTTAAATTCCTGTTACTACCTTTTATGGCAGGTTTGTGCAGAGAGCTTGCACCTTAATGTCACCGTATTATTATTATTTTTTTATGATCTCAGGCCAATGATTCTTATCATCAGGTTATACATTTTTGGTTTGACAGAACTGGTGAAATAACTGTTACTCATTTTACAGAATTATAAGCTGATCAATGGCAGCAGAAATCCTTTGTAAGGTATTTTAATACAGTATTTAAAACTGTGTAAATGTATTATTTACCAGCAGAGGGCGCTACTATTCCATGAGTGGATCATGTCAACTGCTCCATTATTAATCTGAATGTTAATGTAAAGCATGAACATGAGGAGTCTGGTTATTAATATGTTGTATTGACTGATCAGACAGAACATTATGACCACACAAACCAAAGTAACACTCGTTATTTTGAAAACTTCCTGTGATATAGCAGGATAATGTCTTTTATGCAGATGTTTCACTAACAGCTGCAGAACAGTCCCTTCACTTATAGCTCCTCTACGGAGGACCGAAAATGACGTAACTAAAAACAAAAGCAGAATATATATAAATGGCCCAATAAAAATAAATACACTTAAAATGCACCAATTAATTTTAAAAAGGACAACTTTAACTCATGTTTTATAATTTATTGACCTTCATATTTATTTTTCCATCTTAGCAAATGATTTATTTTAGCACAAAATTTATATTTTACATTTTTTAAAAATATTTTCCCCCTTGTAGATGCATTTGTGTCTCTTAAATGCTTTTATTTAATATTTTTGTTGTTTTTTCCCCACAAGTCTTTTTATTGCCACATGTTTATACATGTCTCTGTCTCCTGCATTTACTTTTGCATTTCTGCCTCTTTATGCAAATAAGTTGAGCTGTCCTTGGTTTAGCTCCTCTCCTATTGGTCAAGAGAYAGGAAGGAGCAGGATCCATGTGCAGATGCATGCTTGTGCCTCAGTTTAGCTTAAAGTTTAGTTTAAAATAAAGGCATARGTGTTTTCCCTCCTTGMCTTACCTCCTAATAAYTTTTCATTAAGCAGATAAACCTGCTCACTAATTTTGTAAACCGTACTTGGACCAATTATATTCTGCTAAACAGCTGTTTCATGGACGTCTCCATTGCTGACCTGTTTTCAGTCACTTCTTCCATTAAACAAATAGCATCCGGTCACAAATCCTGCTTTCAAATKATTAATTTATGTAAAACTGAGCAGATTTTGTTTCGTACTTGATGATATTTTTGGACCGGTCTGCATTGCCGAGAGTACCTTTGACCATGGGAGGAGCCAGGGGGTGGCCATGGGTGGCCATGTTCACAGTAGAAAAGCTTTTGGCCACCCAATGACGCTTTGCCAGCAAAATCTTAGCCAAGTTATTTCTATATGAGGAGTGTTTATTTCAACTTCTCAAACAGGTAAATCTCATGATGTAAATCTACACTCAACAAATATAGTGGTTTTAATTTTAAAAATTAGGTAAACCGTTTTCACTCAACTGAACTGAGTAAAGTAACATAAATTAAATGTGTTACCTTTACTTAATTCATTTGAGTGGAAACAGCTGACATTTTAAAAAACTTAATCCATTATATCTGTTTTTGAATGTATGTGGGAGTCACTGCCTGTGTCAATAAATGAGAGAATAACCAAAAAAATATGATTAGATCCTCAGCAAATTGCCATGTTCGCAAAAAAGAGGCAATTTTCTGGGTAACCTCTGTGTGAACAGTGGTCCCAGTCTGACCACCCCTATAAAAAATTGTCTGGCTCCGCCGCTGCCTTTTACAGCTGAATAATGTGCAACACATATTAACCACATAACTGATCCACTCAAAAATACATATTATGTTTCATCCAGATAGAGTCATCAACAATGAAGTTTCTTTGAACAGTGTTTATTCCATGCAACACAAGTTCATGTGATGTCAGTAAGAGACACAGGGGTGACCTTTAGGTTGTTGGGATGTGTCAGGAGCAACATCACCATCCAGGCAGCCCATCGTACCTTTTATATTAAAAAAACAAAAAGTCAGAATATATTAAAACTTATGTAGAGTGGAAGAATCTCAAGTACTTTCACACAACTGGAGAAGCAGTCTAATGATAAAGAACGTAAAAAGCACATGAAATACTCAATAATTATTAATCCTACATGCATCTGATCAAACCTGGTTACTTATAAAACTATGCACCTGATGTAGCTGGACCCTGGGATGCTCTCTGTGCTCTCCTTCACCAGCACGTCTGAGAAGACTGTGTCTGGATTGTCTCTTTTTCCATACCTGCATATTTTCACAAAAAAGGAAATCAGTACACTTAAAAAAAAAGCAACTGTCCCAGAGAACCTCCCAGACTAACCTCTGCCTCGTGATGAGATTGATGTAGTGCCTCAGGGCGGAGTAGTATTTGGCAAGCTCCTCAGGTGGGGCTCCTTCCCGGGGACTTGTGGGCTTGATGGGGTACGCATTCAAGCCAGAGAGGGTACAAACCAGCAGGCAAAGAGCCAGAAGACTCGAAGACATCGCAGGACTGGAGGAGATCCTGGATCCAAAGAGACCATCTAAATTAAACTAATAACATTTTAAACAGCAGTGCTCAAGTTCTGAAGCCACACAATTTTTCAAACTTTTAATTAAACTATAAGAAAAAAAATTCATTGAAATCTTTTCAATTAAATATGAGGGAAAAAATCCTTACACTTGAAAATAGTTGTGGGGATTTTCTTGCCGTCCAGAGCTCCTTTTGTCAGATTCCCAACATTGCCCCTCTTTTATAGTGTGGCTGTGCATGGGGAGGATGAGGAAGAGGAAGAGGGGGAGAGTGTGGGGGGGTTGGTGGGGGGTGATTTCATTTCCTTCAAAGCCACTCCTGAGAAATATCTGTTGCCTCATTAGCTTAATTAAAGCTGTAATGGCAAACCAGCGAAACAAATGGAGACACACAGTCACATTGTCGAAACACAAAAAGGTGTTTTTCTGCGTCTGATTCATTAAAATGTTGGTGGACTTGCTGGAGAACAGGACTTCCCTTTTTTATGAAATAAACTTAGATGAAGTGCGGCAGAATGAATGTGCCGTGTGGATTTCATTATTCCTGCTTTATGAGAGCACAGATTAGTGTTTTTGCAGCAGGATGAACTTTAAAGCAACAAGAGGTGAGTTTGTTAATGAAGTTGAACCCTTTTTTATTCATGTCTTGCTTTTTTTGCTGGATTTAAGCTTTAGTTTCATCACAGGTTTTGTATTTTTACTGAAAGAAAAGGAAGATTTGAATTACAAAGGGCGTTTTCTTTGCAAAGATTGTCCAAAATCTGAATGAATTTAAACAGTCTGTAATTAAAAAGACCCAAAATGAATTCTAACTAAGGATGTGTTCAACTTGACTGATTTAGGTTTGAGTTGTTTGTTTTTGTTTCCACCTAAATGTTGAAAAATTGCTTGTAAAATTACCAAAGATATACATATTTTTGCATTTGCTAACGTGAGTTTCACGAAAATCTGTCCAATAATCAAAAGCACACCTGGGCAAAAACACTTTTCCTCTTGCAGATGATAAGAAGAATAACTTCTTATTGTGTGATTTTTTTTTTTGCAACGTCTCATAATTGCACTTGAGTGATCCAGTGAAAGCCTGACTCACGTCCATCTACAAAGATTCAAAACAGTGGAAAAGCTCTACTTTGAACACGATAACCTGACACGAAGATGTTTTAGGTCAGCAATTCTCCCCAAAACCAAGAAGCGTAGGYAACAAACCGCACCAAATCGTTCAAGTAATAAATCAAAAGAAAAAAAAAACAACAACATAAACTTCTAATTCCAGCTGATAGAGGGCACAAAATGCTCCTAAACGGTAGGACRACTTTAATGGTGTCCATTTTCTTTGAGGAGCACTCAAGAGAAATTTGACGGGAGATTGGAGCTGTTGTTGAGAACTCCAGCACAGTTCTTACAAGAAAAGCACACAAAAACGTTTTGCTTCACTAAATCTTCAGATGTGGAGTTTCGACATCTCATAAAGTACTTTTACATTTTTAGGAAACGCAGAGCATCACAATCAAAGCTGTCATTATCAAGTGCTTTGAATTTTTGGAGATAACAGCAAACAAACCATTGAAGATGTTGAATGTAGTAAAGAATGATGCCACGTTTTCTTCCGTTTTCCTTTTTTATAATTGAGTTAGTAGCAAACAAAGGAATAAAACAATACAATATTGTGAAGCATTTCTTTGTTACACAAAATGACATTTACACCATTTATATCACTGGCCGGCAAAAGAAAAAAGGACAGTAAAAGAACCTTCCTGTGTCCTTGCTTTGCCTGTATTGTTAGCAATATTTCTAATGTATGGAGCCTGTAAGGGGACATGGGGGAAAAACTAACAAAAAACAGATCCTGACTTACTCTCTGAGGATAAGTCAGGATCCTGAGAAAGAAAGTTGGGATCCTGACAAAGAAAGTTGGGATCCTGAGAAAGAAAGTTGGGATCCTGACAAAGAAATTTGGGGTCCTGAGAAAGAAAGTTGGGATCCTGACAAAGAAAGTTGGGATCCTGACAAAGAAANAAAGAAAGTTGGGATCCTGACAAAGAAAGTTGGGATCCTGACAAAGAAAGTCGGGATCCCGAGAATGTAAGTCACGATCCTGGGAAAGTTTCTCGGGATCCTGAGAAAGAAAGTTGGGATCCTGAGAAACTAATCCTGAGAAACTTTATCAAGATTATTTTCTTTCTCCCCATGTCCCTTCAAAGGCTCCGTACTAATGATCCACCCAATGACAAAAAAAAAAAAAAAAAAAATACTCAGAAAGTAAAGACTGAACCCAGTTTCCAACTGATTACAGGACTTGCCCAGAAAGACTCTCATATGTTTATATCAAGTTGTCAGCCCAAAATTTGATACCCTCCCTGGAAGCGTGGGGGTGTAAATATATCCGTTCAGGGCTTTTGATCTAATTGGGGTAAAAACTGCCACAGCATAATGTGGAAAAGAAGTCTGAAAACCCTAATCACCACTGAATACATGTGAAATTTTGTCACAGAGCTTACGGGATGCAGTTCCGCTAATTCGCTAACAGCTAATAGGGAAGCTAACATTTCGTTTAGCTAATTTGTATCTTTGCTAGCTTTGGAAACCAGCATGGWTAGCTTCCACAAAATTTGGTTCTGTAAAACTTTAAATTCGCTAACAAAAACAAAAACATCAAAAGACTTGGTTATAGTTGCGCTAAGACTGTTGTGCAGGACCCATGCAAGCAGTATCTGTGTTTACTCCAGAAGTTACGTTGGAACAGTTTTTTCCCAAAGGACATGACAGTACATTTTATAATTTGTGAAATGTTGTATAAAGGACTCTTTGTCGTAACTGTGACACCCAACACRGCAGGACCAGTCACTGTTTTGGCATTTGTATTTCTAAAAATGATAGTACAACTACARAAAGCAATCGTTTTTCGGAGAAGAAAGCGCATGAAGCAAAGTAGGCTTAAACATGAGAGTATGAGAACTATAAGTTCTTCTTTTAGTTTTATTGGTGGTTAGCAGACTAATTTTTTACAAGTTACAAGTTCTGTTATACAAAACACAAATAATTATGAAACATTATTGGCTTCATATACACTTTGCCAAAGTCCACAAAAATGCGGACTTTGCGTAAGGGCGGAAATAGTACCCAAAATAGGTGGGGCAAAGGGTGGATGTAGAGAATGTGGGACACACTCAAACCCTTCAACATAAACGCACATTTGAAGTGCACAAGGGCGAAACGAGGGTGGGAGTGCGAGGATTAGGACAGAGCCTAAGAATATTCTCCAACATTGAATACAAACCTAATGCCTCAAGATTTCAATATGGCCGCCACAGCTGACCGACAACAGCCGACACAAAACTGGCTACACCTCAGCTGAATTGACCAACTATGAGCTAAAGTTTCACGTGGCTGAAAATCATCCTCATGACATAATGAAGTCGCCTTCCCACGAGATTTGTCATTAAAAACGTGCCTCATTTACAGAGTTAGACTTCCATCAGCCTGCAGGTTACAGACGAACGAGGGCCAGGTGGATACATCAGACTGATGAGCTCTGCAGACAGATACGTTCACCTGGAGAAAACAAAAGGACCCAGCACATTAAAGACGAAAGTCAAAAGAAAAAAAAACGATTTGATTCCATCAGCCTTTTAACTGACGAGGAGCATCTTGGTTGGAGGTGACGAAGAGGGATAAATGATTCATTCTGGGCTGCTGAGGGAGCAATAAACAGCTGCTGATTAACGCTCCTTTCTCTGAGCAACATTAGGCCGTCGTGCACCATCTTACAATTAGATTATTAACACATACATAAGTGCGGGGGGTGGGGGGCTGCATGTGGCCGATTTCTTTTGAGGCTGCAACTTCCTGGAGAAAGAAATAAATCATGCAAGACCGATTCTCTGCTTCTGCTGTTTGTAAAAAYGCACTCCCATCATAATCTACTCCATCAACGAGGATCCTCCTAATGGCCACACAACAGTAGGTAAAACGGCTGTGCAGATAATGACAACATTACCTCAAGTGGCAAACTTTGACTGAAACATTTCGGTCCACCAGATGGTTTGATACGATTTAGTTCCCCAAACGTAAGAAGCCTTAAGCAACGTGCATTGTTGATACACCTCAATGAGCACAGATAGAGGCGACTTGCCATAAAAATGTTGCTCTAAATACGCTTGTAGTCTTTTWTTATTATTATTGTTTGACTGGAAACTGGCTGTTGTCTTTCCCCCCCATCTGTGGTTTCAAACAACGGTGCTGTGGCAAGAAAGTGGTTATTGGCATTGGAGAAAAAAAGTTTAAAAAAAGTAATTTAAAGACAAATTTACGCAAAGTCAATGTGATTATCTATTCAAAAGTTCAATTTTAAGAGACCGACTGAGGTCAGAAATGTGCAGCTTGTTGTGTCAGACTATAATCTGGGTGACAGATTATGGTAAAGACTAATCATCAGACTGAAGGAAGCGGCCTTCATTACCAACCAGCACAACCGCAGCTCACAGATACTCAGAACGCCGGGTCACGTCCTGCTTCGCCGTGTTTTCACATTTAGCTAATGTTCTGGCAATGAACCGACGAAGYGTAGTGGTCGTTTACGGGGAGGTCRTGGGGTTATATGATGTGTTGGTGTGCAAAACTCGTCCGTGTGTTCGGGTTCTGATTTTACAGTTTGTCACTTTGTGAGTGTTAGCAAAATATCTCATGACCAAGTGGATGAATTTTAATGAAGCCTTGGATCTACACCTGTTAAACTTTTCAAGTCAAGCCCATTAAAGATGGCCGCCACAGTGGAACCACCAGTGGACACAAAAAACGGCTAAAACTTCACCGGTTTTACAGATAGAACTAGATTTTGGTGCGGTAGTAGMCGAAGCTTGTCCCCAACAGAGGTCTCAAAAGTGTTCACATTCATTACTAAAGTAGAAGTATCGATAGGGTTTAAAAATACTTTTTTTTGGAAGTAGAAGTATCAACTCTAGCTTTTTACTCAAGTAAAAGTATAAAAGTGTTGGTTTTAAAACTAYTTAAAGTATAAAAGTAAAAGTAATGAACACTTCAAAAGAGCCAGTAAGTATAAAAGCTTATAGGCTGTGCCACAGGGTTCTATAGCAGTGTTTCCCAAAGTTGGGGTCGGGACCCAAATTGGGGTCCCGAAACATCAAGGTGGGGTCCTGAAAAGATTTTCTGAATTAATTACATTTTTGCCTTAGTTGTTACAAAGGAGTGAGGTTAGTAT